TGTAATGTTGACTACTGAATCAAATCTATCTGACCTAATTAGCAACTCAACTAGAATCTCTAGACTAAATTTAACTTTCGTTATAATAGATTTACTACATTAAAAATAGGTTGTTCATTTTATATGTTCATTTCGTTTGCTCCCCCTCCCCCCCTCTCCGAGAGTCCTGGAAAGTGATGTTAACCGAAGAATTAACTTCAAACGGCCTTATTTCCAAATCCGGATTTCCCGGCCAAAATCCCAAAGGAGAAATGGCGGAAACGGCGATTTTGGGATTAATGGCGTTTATGTCAATAAGGGCATTTTTGGTATTATAGACGATAATGGCAGTATAGCAATAGTTAGTTTTTGTAGATAAAGTAATTATTATAAATAAAGGCCTTCTGGCACTTGAGGAAAAGTAGCTCCCGTTTTACCTAAATAATAAAGTACCTAAGTCAATATATACATATCCTACAAACTACATACATTCGTTATTAACCACTCGCCAAATCTTTCACCCGAACTCGGTCAATCGGTGACCCGATTGCTGCGGAAAGATTGACCGACTCTCATCTTACAACAGAACCCATGATACTATGTTTTTTTTATAATTTCCTTTATAGATATGTGGAATTTGCTTGTCTGGGTTATTGTTCTCTTTTTCAGTCTAATTGTTGTTTGGGAAATAAAATCATTTCTTTTAGTGGTTACAACTTATCCCATTGCCTTTATTCTGTCTTTTCTTATCTCCATGATACTTTTGATAATTTGGAGCATTTTTTGATGGATATTCATGGTACCTCAATTTTAGTTGAAGATATCCGGACTATTTTGGGATATATTATATGGCGTTGCTTGATTCTTATACAGCAGCTGCGAATTCGAATTTATAGAGGAGGTAAAGTATCAACGTTGCTGTATACTCTATTTCTTAGAAAACTTAGAAAAATGGGTTAAACATTACCTCTATTCTAGAAACCTGTGAAATAAAAATAAGCAATTATGATTATGATCAACTATGTAATAAAATCAGATCTTATGGACACACCATCGAAGATTTAGAAGAAGAGTTGAGAGAAGCTGCAAGGACTGGTTATTATCTTTGTGAACATAACAATGGATTAATCATTTTCAAACCAATTTATAATTGGAAAATAGTTAAGAATCGAGTCATTAAGAAACAATATTAAAAACAGCAGGAGCCGGACTTCGTTTAATTGGGAGGAGAAAAGATCTTGTAAATAATATGCAAGTAATTCATCTTAAAGATCATGACATATTATTATAAGATGATACAAATTATTTAGAACATTCCGAACTACTTTGACAGTCCTAAAATCGGCGAGTCTGACGCTTGAACAATAGGAGCTTCGTGTAACCGAAGATTAGGTTAAGTTGTGTCGAAAAAGGCGTGTTAGATTTGGCGAGTGGTTAAATAAATGAATGTATGTTTAATATATATGGCTTAGGTATTTTATTATTTTGGGTAAAGCGAGAACATCTAAGTTACAGATGTATAAGTTTATTATGTATGAGGTTTAAAAAAGTTGTATGTTATATTTTTGGGTACTTGTATTATTATCATATGAATATTTTAAATAAAAAGCGGGCGTTATTCTTCCCGAAGGGCCAAAAGGACCTTTATTTATACTTGTAAATTCAACTATTTACATTCGCAAAAATCGCCTATATTATTAGAATCCTCAATAAACCCAAATTGGCCTTATAGCCAGTATTATTGTCGCGGTCAAGATCAGTTCGACAAGAATCAATATGTGGTGCGCGGGGTCATATTGGAGGAATGTTGATTCTGAAAGAGCAAAAGAATGTTGGGACAGTACAGTAATACATGCAAAATAAATAAAACAATATGAATATGTATAAAACTTTAAATGGATAATAAATATGTGCTTGTCGCGTTTAGAAAGTTACGCGTATGGAATCGTGATCTCGTGATCACGTGTATGATCGATTGTGTCACGGGCCAGTAATGGATCGGGATCGGTCGGAAATTAAGAGTAATTAATTAATGCGCATGATAAAATATGTAATTGAGAATAGTCAAAGAAAACGTATGATCAATTATGAGGTAATAAAAATAGTAAAATTGTCGTATGATTAGTAAGAGTGCATTAATTTTAAGGAAGAGATAAGGGAATGCATATGATGCCATTGTGATGTAATTAATTTGTGGTCTAATCGAATGTATAAAAGCAGCTAAAGAAAAATAAAATTAAGTTTTTACCTTTCGCTCTCAAAAAAAAAAAAAAAAAAAAAAAAAGGATATATCTTGAAAGACCCGTAAAGACCCAATTAGGTTCGAAAAGTGGTGTGCTGCCCCGTTTCGCCGGTATAAACCCGATAGTCAGCGAGGACTACGACAATTATTAATATTCATCTCGTTACTGAAATTATCCTTATTGTCCAGATTTCCCATTATTCTTATCTAGGAAATCCGGGGTTTTCGAGGAAATCTAGGGCGGGAAGCCTAAATTTGGAAACACCTGAGATCACGTGGGCACGTACCTACTTCAGGTCACGTTTACGGTTTCACAACATGATGAATAATATTTGTCACGGAATTTCTCTGATTACCGCGTATTCGTTTACCTTTACTATCTGTCTTTACTCGCTTGGCTAATTTACGATGACTGGAGTATCGTACCAGATACTACCACCGATAACGTGTCCACACAGATAAGACTAAGAATGACTCAGCGAGAACGAAAGTTAAGCACTCCCTATTTGGATCGATGCTATTATTACTAATCGCTATTGATTACTACATTGTTCATGCAATAGACTTTTAATTAAATTGTGATCACCCATCATTCGATCAACACTTGCTCGTAGCACCGTACTGCCGAAACCATGTAATACTATTCATCCACTTGATGAAAGCCGACTCTATCGGAATTTTTGACCAATATACCAGTCATTTTAGTTATCTGAACTCAATGAATGGATTTAGATAATGAGAAATGATATAATATTTTATTTAAGATTTTGAATTAATTTAACCATAATATGGCTTTGTTGACAGAAACTGGACGTACAAATTTGATACAATTTTAAATCTGTCTAATATCTTATGGTTCAAGATCTCGTATTTAAAATATCATTGAAATTTCATCTCGTCCTCATTAATTACAAAGTTTTATCAAGCTACATGCTTATATAAACTGACACATAAAAAATCATTTTCATAAAAAATTAAAGGTATATACCGTATATAATTGAAAATTTATAAGAGTTGAGTTTTTATACGCTAATCTCCGTACTCTTTCCAATGGATATTATAACGTGAAGGATCTTCATCTTCGCGATAAGTCCACCTTTTGATTGAATCAACAGTGATTTGACAACCGGGATGATTTTCGCTCCACCATGCAACGAACCTATCAGGACCTCTTGCCTTGAGGTTGAACCTGTACTTGAGGTCAGGAAATTTGTGGTCGATCTTATAAAGTGTCTTGAAAGAAACTTAATGTTAGAATAAAATGCAAATAATTGGTATTTTTTTTCAAAGCATATGTTTTTGAATCAGAATCGGTAAGCTACACACGGATGCTATGCTTAATTGCTTAATTGTTAATGCTTTAGACTCTTCAGAATTACTACACTCTTCGTCAGGCGAATAGCAGGACAGATCATCACCTAAAAGAAAATCTATTAAATATTTGTCGTTGTAAAAAAAAGCGTTGTGCACTCGATACCTTGTTTCTGATTCTTTTTAGTTGAGTCAGCGACATCAAATTAACTTCCTTCCAGAGAAAAATTTTTTGACCAGTTTTAATGGGAGCATTTTGAGTTTGGGTGGTATTCATTATTCTTAGTACAAGATTTACTTTCACAATTAAATAATTATTTCGCAGTTCTTGATTATTTTTCAGAAACCTCACTACCTATAAAGCGAATATCTTCAGAACAATCTTACCAAGAATTATAGTCTCAGGAACCACATTTGAGAATGCAATGTTACTCCCTGTAATTCCCACGTCCGTATCTGACAGGTTACGCCACCAATGTGTTTGACTATTGCCGTTCTAAATTGTGTTTGAATAAAATTAAATTATTACAATAGCGATAGTGAAATATAAAGAATGATTTTATCCCACGTACTGTACATAAGTATGATTATTAATAATAATTATAAGTATGAACAGTATCCGCAGAATTTGTCTCAATCAGTATCGGTATGGTATATATTTTATGTTTAACAAAGTGATACAAAAGATACAACAATAGATACATTTTTGATTAGCTTATTTGTTAACTTATAATGCCTACCAAAAACGTAATTTTGTAAAATTTTCACGCCTGCACTCAAAACTCATTATCATCGCACTCCTAATTCTTATAGGGGGATATCAATGAATGAAATGATTTACTTAAGTTTCGAAAACACGATACATTGCACAAATACAGAGTTCATTATAATAAACTTTTGTTTTAAATGCAAAAATAATTTTTTCATTTCTCTAAAATTTTACGGTTATTCTTTTTTACATATATACTGGTAAATCTTTTGCATTATTTGTTATTTTCTATCGTGACTTTTATAAATTTTCAATATTAAAGTCATATAACTGGTCATGTAACTGAATGAATGCTGGCTAGCCAAAGGTGCCGGGAATAAATTAATCGTACAACCAAAATTTGATAAACATTCATCTTGGATCTTGGAATAAAAGCTGCAGATAAAAATTCATAAAAAAATTTTTTAATTATGTCACAAAAGTTGGTCAACGATATGAACCTTAATTATATAAATCTGTGTGGGCTAATATTTTTTGTTAGCTTTATTTCGTTAGGCGTGCAAATTATTTATGTCAAGCATGAATATATTTGTTATATCTCTACTAAATCAAGTCATGTTGAAACCAATTGTGGGCTAAAACCTCATTACAGTTATCAAATCTCTGTTGTTGCAAATTGTCACCAAGTTCTTGTGCATCCGAGGAAAAGGTGAAGTACAATTGATCAAACAATTTACCAACCAAAAACAAATCACACTTACAGTCATACAAAAAAAAATCGCTTGGAATTGTTCGGAAAATTCCGAAATTATTCGATTTTTTGTTCGGAAAATCGACTCCATTTTGAACATTTAAAGGATGTTTATTGGATGAATGCGTTTTTTATACGTTTTTTATACGGTCAAAACTTTCCTATTTTTTACGTCCCGTACAAACGTCGTTATGAAAACAGTACAAATATAAACCCTGTTCGGAAAAATCGACTCCGTTCCGAACATTTTTTTGGACAATGCCTACAATAACAGTACAAATTTTTTTTATAGGGAGTGTGTATGGTGCTGACCATAAATTAAGGTAGCATCTAAATGTGACAATAGTCAACAATGATAGTTCTAGCTCAATCGAAAAGCTATATTAACGTCTACATGAATGTATTACTACATATTTACATGATGCAAATCATCTAGTTGCATCAACTCTGCGCACTTAATTTACTTCCGGAAACCTAACCAATCAAATAATACCCTGACAATTAGAAAATTTCTGTTATTATTATTATTATTATTTTTTAAATTGTATCTCTTCGATGGGTAAAAGCAATTTCGCAAAAAAAATTAAAAAAAAATATTACTTTATAGGTCTTATCCAAGACTGCAAACTGTTATACATGGACATATGCTCAAGCAAATTATTGGACTTGGACAGTGACAGTTTATGAACAATGTCAAATGTCCATGTTCATGTACATTGACAACATTGATTACAAGGCAATGGATGTTTTTTTGCGAAACTCTAAATATTCATCGAGGATTACGATTTTGGATGTCTTTTGATGATTTGACCATATTTCAGACATTTTCTCCATAAGGATACAAAGATTTAGAATGCTCATTAAATACGATCACGAATAGCATTTTGTCCTACTGCATACCTGCTTTATATCAATATACTGTTATGTTGTAGGTACAGTATTGTGAAAGAAAAAAAGAAATTAGATAATAAAAGTGTATGTAACGTACAGTAGCACATGTACGTACATACGCACGAAGATAATTAGATAATTCGAACCATCTCTAAATTAGGAATCGGAAACTTTTTTTCCCTCCGAATAATTTATTTATATATTTTATTCATACCATTAACGAAATTCACAATGAAAACCAAAAAGTAAATATCTGATGAAGTTGTCTGTTTTCCTTTATATTTCACTATCTATCTCCTTTTCTAAATTATTTGCCCAATCGTATGACTGCTTTGACATTCCAAATCCATCCGAGCCAGAAAAACATTTGATTACGCCATGTCCATTTGTAAAGTCTACAATTCCTACTTTCAGGACAAAAAATTTAGTCAACCAAAGTTCATTCACTGTAAATTTTCAATGCGATAGCACTGACGATGTTCTGTGTGAAAAAGTTCAGTCGGCCTTTATGATGGCCGGAGAAATCATAAGTTCGGTTTTCATAATTGAAGTCCCACTTACCCTTAACGCTACATTCTCGAATCTTAATGATTCTAGCATTTTAGGTAAGTATATTTCTCTTTACAAAATATATCATGTATATCGTCAAGATCGAGTTAATTTTTAGCAATAAAGCTTGCCAAAATTAGACCATATAAAAGATATGAACAAACCAAGTTAAATGTTGAACTCTTTTATTTGTTTTATTTGTTTTATTTGTTTTATTTGAAGGAGTAGCTAATCCGTCGAGATTTATACCTTTGATATCTGAAGATGGCGTTCCACGACTTTATCCCCAATCACTCGTAAAACAATTTAAATTTGACGTTCATCCAGGTAAAATATTTATTACATTAATTAATATTAATTTAACTTACATCGATATACATATATGTCATGTATATTTGATTGACACATTTAAAATTTAAAAATAACCAGAATTTAGTAATTGCGACATTTATGCACAATTCAATTCAGGTAGGTTAACACTTCAAATTCCTCTCAATTCATAACCTCAAAAAAATTTTTTTCATTCTTATATATATAGGTGTAAATTTTTGGTTTAATGGAGATGGACCAATAAGTCCAGCCCAACACAACATTCATACAGTAATATTACATGAATTGTTTCACGGTCTTGGATTTACATCTGCATGGAGAAATCACATTGACACTATATTACAATATCCAACTAATGCATTATCACCAGTTCCGTATTTAATTTATAAAAAAACAAATAATTTATCTAGTAATCCAATTATTTTTCAAGGATTTATAGAGACAATATTTGATAAGTTTCTTGTAGTTCTTCCAGACGATAAAACATTATCTCCATTAATTTCCACTTCATTGTCAGCATACACTTCAAAATTAAATGAATTTGGTCCACCACCAACCGAATTCTCTACACCTACTACATTTGCAGAATCTTTAATAGTATCACCGCAATGGAAGAGTGTTGCACCATTAATGCTTAATAAAAGTATCATCGCAAATACTTTGGTGTTTTTACCGAGAGGATTTCAATTAGTCAACGGAACTTATTTAGAAACAAGTCTTAATCCTTATATTTCAGGATCTAGTATTTCACATGTTAGCTATGATAGTTATACTAATAGTCAAGATTTTTTAATGAGATGTAAGTTGGAACCCGGATTTACCATTAGCGATTTAATTTCTAAAGGTGGAAATTACCAGAATGGTGACAATTCTGGAGCTATCGGACCTAGATTGAGATCTATCATGGAATCTATGGGGTATGTTTTTACTTAATATTTAATATTGAATACAATATAACAATTATTATAATTTTATAACTATACATATGCACAGATATAAAACTCAATCAAATTCAAATCCAATAATACCAAAAATCCCATCATCAGACAATATGACAATATTACCAAATCTTAATGTAAATATCACCTTTCAAGGTCCACCACCGCCAATTAATTCATATTATCATAAAGTATCTGGCACTAATAGATTTGTGGTGAATAGTTTTACGATTTGGAATGGTATAATTATGATTCTAGGATTATCGTTTGTTTGGTGGGAATTTGGTTAAAAAAAAACAAAAAAAAACCCATTTACATATTATGTACCAGATTTACTATGATAAAAAATAAAATAAAACGAGAGCTTTTGAAACATCCAAAATTTTTTGATTCACGATCAATGAAACTCCAATTGTTATACCAAAAAAAGAGATGAGCAAAAGGCTAAAATTAGATAGTACTATAAGTTTTTTTTAACGTTAACGCATCTCAAAGTTCTCAATGGCATTTACATACAGTACGTATGAACGTAGTATTAATAGTTAACATAGATTTAGGATATATTATTTGATCAAATATACTACGCTCAACATCTTAATGAAATTAATTCTTCTCATATACATATTATGTTTGATCTAAAATGTCAAATACAAAAAATAATAATTCATCAGATGAAACTATTAAAGGCATCAATACTTTTAACCAACTAAAATTCATTGATTATAAAAAATCAGCTTACATTTTCTGACTTGGTTATTATTATGAATATGGAATTGATTTTGAAAAGGATAAAAATAAAGGAATTCATTCATTATCAAAGGTCTATGAATAATACCGTAATTTGAGACAAGTAGTACTCCCTTGTTAGCATACCCCACGATTTGATCTAAGATTAATCAAGTATATTTTCGTAAACACGATTAAATGATGATTGATTAACTTTATTGCATTTAAAGTATCCCCGCAAATTACTGAATTACGATAATGGAATGTACAATATTGGCTATTTTTATTATTTAGGAATTGGAGTTGGATAAGCATAAAACATTTTATTGCATTATCTGAAATCAACTGGTAATTCTATGGGAATTTGGAAAACTGCTATTGTTACTCTTTACGGAATCTGTGTGAAAAAAAATGAAGACAAATATGGATATTGAATCAAAGAGTTAGTTTTTCGTCAATATATTTGAATTTACATTCTGAAATTGGAGGCCCTTGAAATTATTTAATCTTTAGGGAGTAAGTATAACGACAATTATATTAAGTATAAAATTCTAATAATGCGATTCAAAAATTATTCAATTCACATTAACTTGGTCCGTATGTAAAAAAAAATTCATTAATCTAAGTATATATTTAAAATTTTATTTCATCCGTGTTAATTTATAGTGTGTAAATATAAAGAATATTATCAATATAGGTATTTAAAAAAGCTATTCAAGTTCATGAATATTTACTATTAAATTTAATTTATTCACGTTAATTTAGCTTATTTTAAATTCTTAGATTAGTAATATTCTTGTATTAAAACACTAAATTAACGCGAATGAAATGAAATGAAATATAGTAAAATATTCATGAACTTTGAATAGTAGTTAATTTTAATATGTATTATTCAAGAATATTTACGTTAATTTAATTGGTGAGTATAAAAGAGCATTTATTAATCTAGGGTGTTTAAAATAAAATATTTACTATTAAAATTTATTTTATTCGAGTTAATCTAGTGGGTGAGTATAAGAACATTTATCAATCCAAATATTAAATAGGCTATCCAATTTCCTATTTAATTTCATTTTATTCACGTTAATTTAGCCTGTGACTATAAAGGACATTTACTAATCCAAGTAGTTAAAATAGGCTACAACTCATTCTCGTTATAGAGAACTCTCGATATAGTGAAGAATTTTGAGTTATGACTTATTAAATTTCGTCAATATAGTGAAGTATATTAATATCCTCTCGATACAAGCTATTGAAGATTTTGTTCCCGGCCCGATGACTTCATTATAACGAGAGTGAGTTGCATTCAAGTTCACTAATTAATTTTATTTTATTCACGTTAATTTAGAAGGTGAGTATAACGTTTCAAATCGACTTGAATTTTCGGAACAGTAGTATGTGTTAAGGGGTTTGAGATTTTATTAGATAAATTATTAACCTGTGGGTTATGCTCACTTACAAGGTGAAAATATAATGTTTTTATAACTTTACATCAATATGGGGCGCGGGGGCTTTGATTAATCACTCAAGTTCCATTACAGCCTAACGTTCAAAATTTTAAAAGATTCTTCAAGAGTCCTTCAAAGACATATGGCTTGAATAAATAATTTCAGTCTTTCTCACAGCCAAGATTCCCACCGCTATTAGACCTTCCTTAAAAATCAGGGCTATTTACCTTTAGCTTTCAAGTTAACACCAATTCCTTCCACACTGCCTCGCGATTTCTCTGCGAACGTTTTTCAATGTTCGCGTTTGTGTTACAGCCACAGAACATTCTATGAATGTTCAACTAAGCTCTTTTGATTCACGAATAACATTCTGTAATGTCGTTTTTGAAGCCACGATTTTCAGAGTTTACTATGTCCACAGGTACATACAGTACGTATTAGAAAATCTTATAAACAGCTATATCGAAGAATGGAAAATCGCGTTGTTACGTTACGATTAATTATTAACAATAAATTAATAGATTTTGAAAATAGTCTTAACTTACCAATTACCGCTACTATATAACGTTCTCTTTTATGCATCACTTAATTGTGTCCTTTATAGCAGTTTGTAGCATTTTTACAATATGTTTATATATTTTCGTGCCGTTTTGAATATGAAATTACCTTGATAATTCAATTTTAAAAATTCTAATTGTTTATATAATTATACAAAATATGTATGTACTTAATTTTCGATTCTGGAAAGATTCATATTTGCACAACTTTTTTAAACAGAAATATTGAAAATTACCCACCATTTTAGAACCCATACAAAATCCGAGAAGTATCCAATCACACCAACAATTGATACATGTAATGGTAAAAAAAAGTCCAAAAAATAATTAGATTATGTGCGTATAATTATATTCAATAATAATTATCAAATTAATTATTATTCATCCAACAGCTCACTCCCGCCAAGTATGCCAGTGCCTCGCCTGATATGCTATGTACTGTAATTAGTAAAAATAGAAACAGCAACGAAAAATAATTCAGAATCGATTACCTGTAATACTGTAATTAATAAGTTATAAAAGTAAAAAAAAAAAAAAAATTAGAATAAAAAAAAGTGATTTTTTTCACATTTAGATTAACAGAAATCTAATTTTTTGATGCCAAAAACTCACCCATTATTAGTTCTTGTTAGAGGTTCAATCGCTGATTATATACGTACGTACATGGTGTTTCGAGCCAATTGGGTCAGTAAATTTTGCTTAATGGCCGACAAAAATTATTGGGTGCTACCATCTAGGATCGGTCCAAACTGACTCAATATCATGTTTTTGGAGTCGACTTAAAAAAGCTCAATTAAAAACCGACTAAACCGAGCTGTTCAACATTCCTAGTGGCTTGCGCCAACCGCCCTAAATAACTGACCAATCATTGATTAATCACATGGAATTGCCACAGGTGGAAAAATTATTTCTCAATAAAGAATAGCTTAAATTTTTAACAATTATTTCAGTACGATTCCATGTTTCGGAATACACTCAATGTTCACTAACATTCTAATTTAATGTATATACTTAACCTATCTAAAGTTCGTTTCTTTAACACCAGATTAAATAGAATTCAAAGATTTTTAAAACCTTTTGTGTCAAAAACTGGTGATTATAAAATGTCCGAACAACAAAACTTTGAAGCTGATAAATTAATCGAGAAACCTAACCATCTGGAAAGAACTAGTCATATTGAAAGGCAAAAGGTCATACATAGAAATTTTATTTTTGTTTAACATAAATTTCAATATAATAATAATATATTCATATATTTATTATGCTCTCTGACTTTTTCTCCTCTCACATTATAAATTTTTTTTATTAAAAATTAGTCAAGAATTCCGGCTGAAATAATTTCAATCATCTCCCAAACTCCTACAATAAAATCTTTCCTTTTCCGTCCTCCACCCTCATATATTCCTGAATTCTCATTTCTTCCGGGTCAATGGTTAGACGTTTTTATTCCTAATGTTCCAATAGTTGGTGGTTTTTCGTTAACTTCTACACCACATCAGTACACTCTTACAAATACTTTTGAATTATCAATCAAATATTCAACTAATCCACCTGCAAAATGGTTTCATGAAAATGCTAAAATTGGTGATAATGTTGAAGTTAGGGTTGGAGGTGATTTCGTTTGGGATGAAAGGAAAGAACAAGAGGATGGAACTGAGTGTGTTTTATTTATTGCTGGAGGTGTAGGTATTAATCCTTTAATAAGTATGTTCACTTCTATTTTAGAAGCAGAAAATAATACCAATGCTAATGACATGAAAAATCAAATGAAGAAAGTGGGTGTAAAAAAAATTCGATTATTATATAGTGCTAGATCCTTTAACGAATTATTATTTTATAATCGCATTGAAAAATTACGTAAAGAATGGCCACAAGTTTTAGAATGTAAATATTTTTTAACAGGTGAAAATGCACCACCATCTCAATCACTTTCCATAAGTGATGAAAGCGAATTTTATTATGGGCAAAGAATAAGCCAAAAAATTCTTGGCGACATTATTATGAAAGAATGCGAAAATTTAGAAAAATTGAAATGTTTTATTTGTGGTCCACCAATTATGCGAGACAATTTGATTTGTTGGTTGAAAAATGTAGGCTTGGTTGAAAAGAGGATTCTTATAGAGAAATGGTGATTAAATAAATAGAAACATTTATGTAATATTTTAAGGGTACGTTTGTTGGTGAATAACTTGGCTAAAAAAAAAAAAAATTTGCTTTATAAAATATACTCTGACTAATTTTAATTATAAACCCTAAAATTTATTATTAGTATAAATTTTATAAATTCGTGACATAATCATTGAATTCTCTTATTTCCATAATATAACTTCATGATCCAAAAATAAGAAACGTCTACAAAAATACTAGTAAGAAACCTGCTTAACCAATTTCCTTTTTGTAATTTTGCCCATTCCAATTTCAAAATATCTTTTTCTTCAGTACAAAATAAAGCCTCTAACATTCTCCAAACACTATCAGTACAAGTTCCACTTTTATCAATTCCCCAACCCCATTTTTTATCTCCTCCACATGTTACATAAAAATCATGTACTCTTAAGTCGTCCTTTGGTAGGTAAAAATTTGTGAAACGATATTTTTTACAAAGATCTGGAGTGAACAGATCGATGATTGTACCATAAGCTGGAGGTACAGGACATGAATGAATTAAGAATGTATGGTTTGAAGCGGTTGTTACAAGAAGGCCGACGTGCTCGAGGACTATGCCGGATTTAAAATGTGGTTCATGAATTGCCACAGCAGCTGATATTACTTTTTCAGAAAGGTACTGAGATTCAAGATGAGGCGTTATGAAAGGGACATTGTTAAAGATCAAGGATGTGTATACAGACATGATATCTTTTATAATGTAGAGATCGTTATTAAAGAAATATATAAGCTAAATGATTACGTTTGATCGATTCGAAAAAGAATTTTATATTTACCTTTGATTCCCAAAAAAACTACATATATATATATTTTTTCTTTACCGCCAACTTTTACTGTACCATCAAAGCCCCATATAAATATATTAACCTTGTATGTACGTACAGCAATTTGACAGAGGCATCTATTAAAATTTACCGATTTTAGAAATTTCTTCAAGGCAAATAGCTAATTCGGTATTTTAAGCCATGCTTAGTCATCGACTACATTGTAAATTTACAAATTTCGAAGAAGATAACATGTGAAATTCTAAATATCAGATTTGACATGTACACGAAAATTTGACATGTGCAAATTTTAGACAATTGGACACGAGGCCTTTACTTATTATAGCAGTAGACATCTATACTAATTACAATATATTTAACATAACTCGATTGGATTATTCTCGAAATTCTTTCGCGTTGAATATTTGTACAACTACTGTGAAAATGACATAAATGTCGAGTGCGACTAAGCCAGCGACTTGGTCGATCGTCGGCTTAGACCAATAATTGATGCTGATTTTTATTCCAAAAAAAAGTGCCGGTCCCGTGGTCTGAGTGATCAGCTCATAAAAAAGTCACATTATCGATACTATATAGAACAAAAAGTAGATGATTAAACGAGTCTTCACGATATATTTCAATTTTACCCTGATTCCAACCTAATACATTAATTTTAAAAATGCAATTACAGTAATTTCGAAAATATAAATTAAATACTTTAGCTTCAAAAATGCAATTAAATATGTTAATTCATTATACATTATATCGTTTGTAGTTAGCACAAAAATTGTATCGTTAATAATTTTAAAAATTTTGAGAAATTCGTTTTTAATCAATTTGACGTAAACACATTAATTTGAAAATATATATAATAATTAATTTCTAGCGAAAATATATGATTAATTTTGCGCAAATTCTGTTTAATTCAAAGATACTGAGCCGATCATGAAGATCGGCTCGACTAACTCGCTTACAAATTTCGGCTCCCTTTTAGGACTAACACTATTTACAAGAATGAGGCTTAGGCTAATTTATCTATGACATTTATATTTCACCAGTAATTAACTGGATGGAACCGAAAGCATAATTGCTTCCAGTGACCGAATGTCATAGGATCGTTCCAATATTTTTTATCATTGAAATAGAAATGTTCAGTAACTTCTGATTGGCCGATTCGAATCAATCAATCGGCTTGATTAGTGATTCGACCAGAAATCGAACCCGGTTTATAGCAAATATTCATTTTCCTAAATTCTTTCTGCCTTGTCAGCTTAGTCAATAATGAACATTCATAAGTCAAGCTATTCGTTATTCGAGAATTTAAAATAAGCATACCGATACCAATTTCTTCTTAATTAAGTTAATTAGTAGATTAATATGCCGATTATTTGAACATTGAGATATTTAAATAAGCTATTTATTTTATTTATTGCTTACTAGTAGTGAAATTTACTAATCTAATCAAAATTAAAAATATAATTTATAAATCAAATTTTGTATAACAAAATAAAAAAATTTTTTAATAATTCAAAATTTTGCTTAAAAATCACTTTTAGTATTATAACAAAAATATTTCTTGCAAAATTTTACCATATAAACACTTGATTTCTAACTTTAATATTAGCTCTACCTCTTATTTTAGCAATAAAAAATCATTATATTTTTATTATTTTGCTATACAGTATATATTGCAATTATATATAAATATTCATTAATGAATTTTATTACTAGTTACTGCTAAAATAATATAATTATTTTAATTTTTGCATAATTATATACAGTATTCTACAATATCATATATATAAATTTTTATTTAAATTAGTTATACTGTAATATTGTAATAAATAATAAAATAGCTAATTTTAGTATATATACAGTATAACTATTATAAAAATTAACTATATAATATGTTAAAATTAATAATAAACAAACCATTTTAATATATTATTAATAAATAAAAAAATATACAGCTTATAATCTAAATAATAAAAATTTTGCTAGCCAGATACTATTATAAAAAAATAAATAAAATAAAATCTTTGTACAGTAATTTTTAAAAACAAAAATATCAAAAAACTTTTTTATATTAATATTTTTAAATAAAAGTTATATGTTTTTTTTAGTTGTATTATATAATATAACAATAATTTACTGACTTTAAATGGCTAACATTATAAAATTTGCTTACTTAACTTTAATTCAAATTCTGGTCATGGATTTACCAAGTAAAAATAATGGTAGGCATTTATTTAAGTTATTAGCAAATTAATTTAATTAATTTTATTTATTTTATTTTGAAAGATTATAAGAATCTAAATATAGTATATTAAGAATTTTATTAACTAGAAAAAGAAAGATTTTTGTAAAATAATCTTATTTGTCCATAATGGTATAAACTAATTCGCCAATAATTATTTCGACAACAGCAATTTTGCCAACAAAGTTGGCTTAATTGAGGATAAGGTGACTGGTTTATAGTTAGTGTTGGTTAGAAGTAGATTTTCGGAAAAACGAATTCTACCAGACTCGCCAATAACTTAATTCTGAAACTGCGTTTTATAACAGGTAAACCACAAACAGAGTGCAGTAAGTATAAAAAAAAAGCTTTTTTTTTGAATATAAAAGTTCTGATATTACTTTGCGTGTACTTTATAAAGACCCCAAATAATGAACATTAATAGAATATTATCTGTCTGAACCAGCAGAAAGATAATCTTTATGTAATAAGAGTGGGTCTGTATGGATTTCGATGACGAGTAGTGGCATAACTACAAATTAAAATATAAGCATAATAATTAAAATCTATGATTATGATAAAATAAGCTTAAAGATACATTTAAACATACCCAAGTGTTTCCATAATTGATCTTAAAAGAGGCCCAATAGGTCCGCCAGAAAAATTACCACCTTTTGCCACATCTCCATCCAAAGTATCTAACAAATTAATACTATATTTCATCAGAAAATCGCTAGTATTTTCATAAGTCTTCAGATCCACATGAGATATACTAGAACCACGGCTATATGGTATTAAACTAGTTTCAAGTATGACAGCTTTTTTTTTAGTTTTCTTATTATGAGGTAGAAAACCCAATGATTTAGCAGTTTGAGCATTAATAAACATTGGTTTTGCAATTTGATTATATTGAGTAGAATTATAAAATTGATTTTCAAAATTAGTCTTGTTTTGGAATTTTGCACCAGGTCCACCAGCGAAAAAATTTAATTGTGTATTAAATTCTGATATATTTTGTCCGCTTGAACGTAGTATTAAATATTTATCAAAAGCGGACTCCTTAAATCCATCAAATATTAATGAACTGGAATTTTGTGAATCCAAGCGAAAAAGTGGCAAGGGGGACAGAGCTTGGAGACTTGTTTGGGGATCTGTCCAATCGTCCCAATTACTAAGCATTCATTTAAATATTAATATGGAGCATTATTATTATAAGTTTTTTATAGTAAATATATTTAAATATTTAATTTACCTTTTAAAGCCCAATCCGTGAAAATATTCGTGAAGAATAATTTCAACAAGGTCTTTCTGTTGTCCTTGAATTGGTTTACCATCGGATTTAAACCACCAACTAGCTGCAGAATTAAAATCAGCCTTAATATCATAAGGAGCAAATTGAGGATGTGGTTGTAATTTATATTGTTTTACAAGTGCTTGTGGATAAAGTCTATCGATCCCATCATCGTCTCTCATCAATATATGCCTAGCTGATTTTGCACCACCTTTTTTTTTTTTTTAAAAAAAAAAAGAGTTATACACGTGACTCATTGATTCATTGATTCATTGTACTTTGGTAAATTCAGAATTTTAGCAACATACCAATGGGAGCTTCGTCTCCGCATACATTTAAAGTTTTGCAAAAATTGGTAAATGAAACATTTACAAGAACTGGAATATGAAATATGAACGCTTTTGTAATTATCAGACCGGCAATTTCAAATGCATTCCTTGCTTTACCACAAAGATCAGTATCATTACTATCGCATACGAACTCTACAATTTGAAGCTTATTTTCTTCAAACATATAATCATTCGTATTTTTACTTCGTTTACTAGCTACATATTGACTAGTTTCATAATCACAATCAACGTAAACCCCATCTTCAATACATTGCGCGGATATTTGTGTAATTATTGATAGAAAAATTAGGTAAAAGATACATAACATTTTTAAAGATTTCGAAAGATATAAAAATTTACGAGTATAAATTAGAAAACTTAATTAGCAATAAGGAGTAAACCGAGAGTATTAACATTTAAAAGGTTCATATAATAATTTGCCAAGGAAAAAATTAATTTGCGGGTAAATCTCGTATCCGATCTAATCATCCAAGTAAGTACGTACGTACGTAAATTGAAAAAATGAGACTTTCGTAAAATAAATTAACACGCTAGTTTAATTATTGTGTATTAAATAAATTAAATTGGCCTAATTCTTTTAGATTGAACCTCGATGTTAATGACAAGACTGTACATGCTTTCTTCTTTTATAACTATAGTAATATAATACCAAATAAATAAAATGTAATTAGAATACTGCAGATAAAATTACACGTTAATTAAATTAATAACGGCCAATTTAATCTTGGGTTTGATATCCGTATTTGGATTTTTTATGCGTGTTCTTTTATGTATCTTATGCATCAAATACCACAAGCTCACTTTTGTGATAGGTACGTACGTATGTACGTCCGTACCTACATACAGCACGTACGTACGTACGTACATGCTAAAGCATTGGATCTTGTTAGTTGACTCATTAAGCGTTTATTTGATTGTAACTCCACAAAATTTCAGATACAATAAGAATATTAAAGTTTAAACATGTGAAAACATAATTTATAGGATACATGAGTATTAGTCTTTACCCTGGATGTATCTGGTATGTATAATGTCTCTTTTTATGAAACATATAATTTATTTGCATAACACTAATAGTAATACAATAAAACTAATGGTGTAAAATTGTAAAAATGTATTCTATTAATCCCATTGTTAATGTCAAGGTAAATAAAGTACCATGGTCCTACTTTCTAAGTGCATGTTATTTAACTCACATATATTTGAAGAGGTTTCCTGAAACGTTCTTGTTCAATCATTGTAACACATTATTAATTATGTAAAAGTTTATCTATCTCCATTAAAAACTTCTCAGCATCACATCTTACTGCACGCTTATTATATACTGTAACTTGTATTTTGGTTTGTTCTTCGAACTAATCAATCTTTTAATTCTGATTCTTTTCTAATATTACTTTATCTTTTTTTTTATAATTCTCCGATACCATATAACAATTATTGTATAATGCTTAATTATACAAAGAACTGATAATTTTAAAGGAGGTTAACCTTGATCAACAATTTTCAAATAAAACACTAATATATACCATTTAAGTGTAAATAAATCACTTAAGCCATTGTTTTTTTTTTATACAAAAATATAATAATATTCAATACTTTATGTCTATTTTGGCAGTGTCTTTTCTCTTGGTTGCGTTTTGTAGCTTGTTTATCACATGAACATGTTATTTATTATTACGTTGATTTTGTGTGTTTAAGATAAGGGGAATTTACAAATTAGGGCCCAGAAAGTGAAAATAATTACAAATACGGGCCCAAGTTAAAAATAATTACATATAAGGGCCTAATTTTTAAAAAATATTACATATAAGGGCCCAAATCTATTGATGGGGGCTTATAACGATAGCAAAATCGCGATTATAGGATTATCGATTGTTTTATTATAGATATTTAGAGTTATCTATATACTGATTATTAGTTAAAAGATAAATTAAGTACTAGTTACGATAATTTTCGCTTAAATATTGCATAAAAATAGCGTTAAACTAGCGCAATTATTCATAATGCACAGAATGGCTCTCTAAAGCTGAACGAACATCTTCTATATTAGTAAATGTCATGCCAATTCGCAATGTTTTACTTGACATCATAGTGGTTTGTTATAACAATAAGCAATTTCGTACAAAGAAAATTAAATTTATTAAATTTAAAAATTTTCTTTTCTTATTTATAATTACAAATTTACAATC